GACCAGAGGGTCAGAAGGAAGCCAGGGAGCCCAAAGACTAGGAAGGAAGTAGGAAGGCAGCCCAGACTGATGTGTCAGCACCTCCCCAGCCTTGGAGAAACCTTATATCTGTAATCCCAACATCATCTGGCCTTGCCCAGGGCTTTGCATGTAGGTAGAAAGCTCAAGTGAGTAGCTGTTAACGAGTTCTGGACTGCAAAGAATTGCCTCATTTGAGTGATCATTGTGGGGCAAGAGGGGGCACCGACCACTCTTTCTAAATGCTTCCTTTTTCACTAATAGGCCCCTAATTCAGGCACTGGCAATTTTGTCTTTGTATGCCCAGCCTTATATATAGTAGGTCCTTAATAAAGACTTGTTCAATTCAAATTAATTAAATGGTCAGAACCTAGCTTAAGCTCTTTCCTTCCTACTTCCCAACGGACCCACAGTAGGTGCCTCCTAGAAGCAGGAACCAGTGCATGGGGAAGGACAGAATTAAAGTTGGGTGAGAAGGAATTTCCTGTTTTCCACAAAAGTTTCTTCCCTCCTCAGTTTATTTCCTTACAAACCTGTAAACTTCCTTTGTCCTTTGCACATCTAGAAAATAGCAGCAACATATATAACCTATATCAAACTGTTTACTGTCTTAAGGAGGAGGGAGAGAGGGAGAAAATTTGGAACTCAAAATTTTATTTTAAAAAATGTTTAGAATTGTCTTTAAAAAAGATTTAAAAATAGCAGCAGATTTAGGAAGAGGAAATAAGCTGCCTGGAGATGACAACATTGCTGAAGTTCAAAGGGGAAATGCAAGTTACTTACAAGTCCATGCACCGAGCCCAGAAAAACCTATGTTTGAGCCCACAAATTACTAGCTATGTGCACCTTAAGTAATTCTCTGAGCCTGCTTCCTCATCTAGAAAATGAGAATAATACCTGATACAAAAATACTTTACAAATTCTAAAGGGATAGAAATATATAGAGAATTATTCTAATTATTGCTTTTTTAATTGACAAATTTATTGGGTTTTTTTAATCGACAAATAGTTGGGATTTCAAAAAGAAGCCCACCATGTGAGAGAGAGTTACATAGGGCTTGCTTCCCTCTGTCTTCAGGTCAGAATGGGGTCCGCAACTAACCAAAGATATGAAGAACTGAGACAGAAGGCAAAAGAGAGGGAAAGTTTCAGAAATGTGACTCAGAAAGAGCAGGGACTATGCAGTCTTGAGGTGGGCAAAATAATAAGCAGGGATTGACAACGGAGCTTAGAATCCTGAAAAGATTTATCTCCATACGGAAGATCAAGCGCAGGCATTCTTCATTCTCACAAAGGATACAAGCAGTGGTTTGAGATGAAACAGTAGCAGGGAGGGTGACTAGAAAACAGGAGGTGCTTCTGACAAGGAATAGACCACCAATCTGGGAGTCGCCTCTCCCACAAGGCTTATCAAATGGAATACTTAAAATGCTCTTACCCACTCCTCCCCAGTCATCCAGATCCTATGAAATCTTCGGGGATAACTCCAGCCCTCTCTGTCCTGTATTGTTCCAGAATAGTCTGTCTACCCAACCAGACTGTTAAGCTCCTCGGAGGCAGAGACAATTATGGCAAGGCCTTTTGCATCCCTACCCAACGCCCTGTTCAGGGTTGTTCACGGAGCAGGTTCTCTGAATTTGATACTTGCTTAATTGAATTGCCTGGGCCACACAAATTAGGATGGGCCTTGTACTTTCACCTCACTAGAAAGAAACTGGGCTAAGCCCAAAAGAAGTTGGGCTGGGTCCAAGTACGGATTTTTCATAAAAATAGAAAACAAGGTGACCTCCACTTATCACTATTACATTTTTGCTCTGAGCTCTTTCAGCTGTGCCATTCCTGGGACTCTGGGCTGGGGGGGCGGGGGGGAGGGGGGGGGGGGCCTGATGCTAGCAGATGCTAGGAGGCTGGGCCCCTACTGTAAAGGTAACTTTTTTGGTACTTGTCTAGAGGCAGGGAGAGGGAAGAAATCATCTTAGAAGGGTGTGACTAGCTTAAAGTACTTTTTTGATTAAAGGTAAGGATGAGAGAAATCCTTCTTCCCCAATTCTACCCCACCCCCATGGCCCAAATTAATCTCCCTTCCTTTAAGAAGTCTTCCCCTTGAAGCAGCTGGGTGGAGCAGTGGATAGAGCACCGGCCCTGTAGTCAGGAGGACCTGAGTTCAAATCCAGCCTCTGACACATAACACGCACTAGCTGTGTGACCCTGGGCAAGTCACTTAACCCCCATTGCCTAAAAAAAAAAAAAGCATTGCCCCCCAAGTTCAGGCCTAGGTGAGATTAAGAAAACTTATGTTGTTATTACTGTTTAGTCATGTCTGAGTCTATATGACCCCATGGAGTAGTCTGTCATTTCCTTCTCCAGTATTTTAAAGGATCCCCGAACTTGTCTTTTTGGGTTGTCATATTTTCCAGAAACTATGGACCCAGTGTCCCCATTTTACAAATGAGGAACAGAGGCAAACAGGGGTTAAATGATTTACCCAGGGTCCCACAGCTAGTAAGTGTCTGAGGCTAAATTTGAACTCAGATCTTCCTGACTCTAGGTCCAGTCCTTTATCCGCTGGGCCACCTAGCTGCTTCAAAATAAGGTCTGGCTGACCCTTTGCCGGGAATGCTACAGGGATTATTCTGCAGCCAGGATGGGTCAGACTAGAGGACCTTACGGGTTCTTTCTGATTCTAAGATTCCACAATTCTAATGAGGGTTCACTTAGTACAATTCTGTAGTAGCTGTGCAACCATGGGAAAGTCCTTAAGCCTCTCTGAGCCTCAGTTTCCTCATAATAACACAGACATTACTAGAGTACTTAAAGGTTTATAAGCATCAGCAGGGCCCACCTCACAAAGATTGTGAAGAAAATTTTACTCTTAACGTAAAGCTTCCAAGTTACCATGATTACAGGAATGTCCAGTGGTGCTATACTCACCCAGGGCTGCCTAGCCAGCATGATTTGAAGTGTATCCTGTTAATTCTCTAAAAAAACTCCATTAAAATATGTTTTGCAGGATTGTACATGTATAACCTATATCAAATTGCTTACCATCTCAGGGAGGGGAGAAGGGAGGGAGAGAGGAAGAGAATTTGAGACTCAAAATTTTAAAAAAGAATGCTAAAAATTGTTTTTACATATAATTGGGAAAAAATAAAATATTGTTCAAAAAAAAATCTCCATTAGCATTGGCAGCTACTGGGACTTCCTCCTACCTGTGTGACCTTGAACAAAACACTCCAACTTCTGGGGCCAAACCCTTGAGAAAACTAAGGCCCAGAGGGACAGTAGTTTGCCTAAAGGTCACACAGATAATGAGTAGCCAAAGCTGGAAGAAGAAATAGGCCTTAGAGACTAGCTAAAAAAACTTCTTTCCACAGATGAGGGAGCTTAAAGCCCATATCGGGGAAGGGATTTGGGACTATAGAAAGTCAGGGCCAGAAGGATGAATCCTTAGAGACCTTCTAGACCAGGGATAGAAAACCTGTGGCCTCAAGGCCTCGGTTTCTCAACCCTGTAAAAATCTAGACCAACCCGCTCTTGTGCAGATGAAGAAACAGGGACCCAGAGATGGGAAGCTGTTTGCCCAAGGTCACACAGATAGTATATTCTTAGCATCATAGGCTAATGGGTCTAAACCTTGACAAGACCTCAGAAGCAAGTTAGCCCAATCCTTTCATTTTACAGATGAGAAAACTGAGGCCAAGGGAGTGACTTGCTCAATATCATGCAAGTAAGAAGAAGCAAAGCCTAGAAAGAAAGAAGTTTATCTCCCTCACCAAGGCAAAGAGAGCTAGCTAGAGGGATCTGAGGACCTCAAAGGCCTAGAGAAGAATGACAATATCAAAGGCTGATACAAGGGATTCAGGCCTATAAATAAAAACTCACAGAGAAGATTCTTCAAGCTCAGCTGGTGTACCATGTCCCTTCTCACATTTCTTTACAAAACTGAGAACTCCAGCAAATTCCTAGTACAAATGACCTCATCTGATCTATTTCTTCTTTGAGAGGAGGGAATTCTAAACAAGTGAACCCTGGGGACCTGGTGATATTAAAATCAGGGAAAGCAGGGTTCAGGAAAGCTAAGTACAGGGTCAGCTAGGTGGTGCAGTGGATAGAGCACCAGCTCTGGAATCAGGAGAACCTGAGTTCAAATCTGGCCTCAGACACTTGACACTTACTAGCTGTATGACCCTGGGCAAGTCACTTAACCCATTGCCTAGCCAAAAAAAAGAAAAAAAAAAGAATGGCTGAGGAAAGCAAAGTACAAGGAGGTTCACAGAGTTTACAGTCTTGTATCCATACTGGAGACTCAGTTATAGGATCATAGATTTAGAGTTGGAAGGAGGCATCAAGCCCAACCTCGTCTTTTTACAGATGAAGGAAGAAGTATGCCAAGGGTAAGTGTTTTGCCCAGGGTCGCACAGCTAGTAAGTGGCCAAGGTCATATTTGAGCCCAAGTCTTCCTGACTCCAAGAGCAGGACCCAATCTATAACACAAGGTTGCCTCTCATAGATTTAGAACTGGAAGAGACATTGGGGGCCATCTAATCCAGCTCCCTCACTTTGGGAATGAAGAACTGAGGCCTAAAGAGCTTAAGGGATTTGTCCAAAATCACACAGGGAGTAGAGAGAGAATCTGAACCCAGGTCCTCTCCATTCAAATTCACCATTCTTTGCACTGCATCACAGTGGAGTAGAGACATCTCAAAATGTTTTTTCATTGATCTACTGGTATATGAAATTAAATTCTTACATATATACATGCATTTTTTAAAAAGCTTCAATTCTAGGTTAAAAATAGAATGAGGATAGAACTAACTAGCCCCTCCCGATCCTTAGTTCATTACTGGCCATAATAGTCAAATTATCTTGGTGACCCTCATCAAGAGCTGCTGACCCAGGAAAAAAGAAGTTCCATTTCCCCCACCCCCTCCGCAAAAACAAAAACAAAGAGTTTCCAACCCCCTCCCTTGCCAGATCCCTACCAGGTTCAACAGAGAGCAAGGCTTTGCAGCTGGCCTGGCCCAACTCATTGGTGGCGGTGACGGTGTAGTGACCAGCATCAGCTAACTGGGCTTCCTGCAGCAACAGAGTGTGCCGCTCGCCTTCAGCCCGGATGAGGACCCGCTCATTGTTCTGGAGGGTTGTGCCATCTTTTTGCCAAGACACTGCAAGGAAAGCATCAGGAACAGGTCACTCTGGGACCCTGAGCTCCTCCTTGTTGCTTCTCCCAGAGGTCTCTAGAGGGAGCAGGACAAAGCAGGAAAACATCCCTCGCCAAGAGCCCTTGGCTCTCTCCTCTCCTCCCCACTCACGCATCCCAGACCCCCATCCCAGAGCTTACCTTGGGCTGGGGGGTTGGCTGTGACAATACATTTGAGCATCGTGTCGAACCCTGGAGCCACCACCACACTTTGCAACGGTATCTCAAAGACAGGCGCTTCCAAGGGCTCCTCTCCAGCTGAGACATAGGAGTCATCCGAGGATTCTGGGGACACAGAAGTGTTCACAGACTCAACAAAGACGTACAAAGCATTGACTGTATCTGCTACATTGCACTGTACAGGATGTCAAGGGGGATACAAGGTATCACTACAGTCTCTGCCCTCAAGAAGTCTACAGCCTAGTTAGGGAGAAAAGACATGAACACATGAGAAATTAAAAATAGCTACAAGGGTTCGACAAGAGAATAATGTAAGAGGTGTCACAGGGCCACCAAACAAGAGGAGTAGACAGGCAGTGTCCAGGTTGATTCAGCAGAGCCCTGAAGGAACTAGAGGGAAGCAGAGGGGAAAGGCCTTTCAGACTGAGAATGACATGCCTCCCCAACCGCCTTGCGCATTATTGGCCTCAATAAATACTCAGTGACTGCTTCATCTAACTACCATCTCTTCTTTTTTTTATCTCATAAACTCTGGGCCCCGGGCTCTAAACAGTAGCACCCCAGGAAACCTCCAAACCACAGCCAGTGTCCTCAGGGTATTTCATCAAACATAACTTAGCAGAAAGAAAGAAGAGGTGGGAATCCAAATGGTCTGCCTCTTGTCTTTTGCTCACTTCTCATCCCACCCCCACCAGAAAATCACTTCTAGCTGGAGGAGACTGAGAGAAGTGGGGACGGTGGATGGGAGAGAAACAGGAGATTCTACCAGGTTCAAAGAAAATGAAGAGAGAGCTGACTTATGTGCCCTGCTCTTTCTGGGCCTCACCAGCTCTATGCCAGTAGCTAACTTTGGCCCTAAACCCCTCAAAACATTCCACTGGGAGGGGTCTACTTTCTCAGCCACTTAACGCCAAAAGGCTCTAGTTTGCCTTCCCTGACAAATTGCCCTCCTTGGAAAATTCAAGAGGCGAAAAGAGAATTCCTCTCTGAAAATTCTCCCCAGTCTCCTATGCTCCCTATCCCCCGGGGGACCGTACCAAGGTCAGGTGAGGTAGGCCGTGTCCGATGATGACCTTTGCCCTTGCTACGGGGCACTCGCCGATCCCAGGCCCCCCAGGGTCCATCCTCCTCTGGGCCTCTTCGTAATCTCTTCTCTGCTTCAGGCCCAGGCTGGTTCTTTTCCAGGTTTGGGGGGATGGCAGTCCCCTCTGGCTCAGGCATGGCCCAGGGTAAGAAGCGTACAGCTTGCATGGGGGGATCACGCTTCCTGCCTAGATGTGCTTTTGTCCTGGGCTCAGGGGGCTCGGGGCTCCTGGATTCCTGAATAGCCCTCCCCCGAGTAAGTGGGAACTGTTCTCTCCGACGAACCTCCTGCTGGTGGCCTTCACCAAGTTCTGTCCTGCCTGCCAGCCCTCGGCCTCTGGCCACACTGGACCCTTTTCCTGTTGCTTCCTCTCCAACCTTCCCCACGCTGCTCAGGGCCAGCTGCTGGATAGTGGAGGTGCTCTCTGGTGGGGGAGTCTTTGGGGTAGAGGGGCTAGAGAAGAGGGGAGGCTCGGCTGGGTCCCGGGGAGATGGGGCCCTCTGCAACGTGGACCGCAGAGACTCGTGAGATCGAACTAATTCTTCCCTGGAGGCTGAGCGGCGGATGCGCCCCAGCTCCTGGGCAAAGCGGAGCTCGAGGTCAGAGGACGGGCTGGGGCTACGCAGCCGGACCCGCTCATCCAGCGAGGCTGCCTTCTGCCGAAATGCCCAGCGCCTCTCTGCCACAGTGCCTAGCTCGCCTCGTAACTCTTCCCTTGAGGTCCCCGGTGTGTCCCACTGCCCGCCTTCGGCCTTTGGCTGATCCAGGGACCGTGCCTTCCTCAAGGGAACCCATGCCCTCAGAGGAACCGGGGAATCACTCTTCTCCAGGCTACGCCGACGCTCCTCAAAGAACTGCAGCTTGTCTAAGATCCGGGAGCCAGCTCGCACCAACCGCGGGGAGCAGCGCACCCCAGAAAGGCGGCCCGAAGCTTCACTCACAGGTGTCTGGGAGCGAGACTCCAGGGTGCCCGCCAGCGAGGGCCCTGATGACTTGGGCTTCTTCCCCCTCTTCTCTTCCAACTCTTCCAGGGGCCCTGGTTCCTGAGGCTTCCTGTGGGGCAAGGTGGGGATGGCAGGGGGCTGCGTAGCAGGCCCAGGAGGAGGCCGTTTCCCCACCCTTGGGGAGGGTGGCGGGAGCAGAGCTGATTTGGAAGGAGGTGGTTGGGCAGGCCTTCTTGGAGCCTCACTGGCAGTCTGGGGCTGAGGGTCGGGGTCCTCTCTTCGAAGCCCACCCTGTGGCACACTGCTGCAAATCAAGTCAGAAAGAGTGAGCTGGCGTTAGGGACGGGGCTTCCGCACACAGATTTGGGGAAAGCTGCATGGGGCAGGAGCCCAAAGGGAAGGAAGATGGGACATCTGAGGGTCGAACAACCACCAGGACCCCACTGAGTGCTGTGTGCAGACTGCAGCCAGAGCTGGAACTTGGGCCTACGCGGGGTCCTTGGGAGACAGAGGCTGGCTCTGAGTATTAGGGCCCAAGCTGGAGGAAGAAAGGTATAAACTCCAGACACGAAAAACATTTGGCCCCAGTAATCCTGGCCAGCCTTCTTTCCCCAGCCACCAAAGCTGGCAAGCAGCAGAGACAGAACCGAACAAAAGGGAAAGAAAAGAATGAGGCTGAGGATCTGAAGGATGAAGTGAGAGAGGGAAAGGTGAGAAGGAAGCTGAGCTTAGTGAAAGACCTGAAGAGAATGCAACCCTTTCAGACCTGCCACCAGGCACTCTCATTTTCAACCATGATATTCTCTCCTTCACTGCAGCTCCTAAGAGGAGTGGTATCTCCTTGTCTTTGCCTCGCTAACCCCAGTCATAATCCTTTCAGAGAAATGGATCAATAACCACTCAACTCTTGGGGGCAGTGCACACAGCTGGCATGGGTGCTCCCAGGGGCCCATCCCCAAGCACTCAAGAACTTTGGAATTTGCATTTGTCATCCTTGAGACCCTCAGAATCTCAACTGCTACCATAGGTAGAAATTCTTTGCCAACATGGGGTTACACCTACATGTGTTTCTTCTAGGTAAATACAATTAACCTTTAGTCTCTTGGAGTCCCCCACCCACATATTCAAGAATCTCCCAAATGGAAATGAGTTCAGAAATTATCTATTGAAAGAGGCTGAGGGAATGACTAGGAAGGGACCAGCCAAGACCTCTGGCCCACAGGACCTTGATGGCTCAAGGTCTTAGATTTCCAACTCTCACATCTCAGGCCTCCACTGGACTTGAAGTCACCCACATCAGCCCTATGGGGTCTCTGTTAAAACACTACCTGATCTCTAGGATAAGGAAAATTGCAAAAGAAGGCCAGAGCATCTTTTGGGGGCCATCCTTCCTAGGTCACATCACTCCCAATCCAGGGCCATTACAGGGCCACACACAAAGTAGAAATCTTAATACATATGGCAGTCTGACTGCCTGACCCCTGTGTGCTAGTGCCAAGGTTCTGATGGAGGGATGAGTACAATGATGGAGTCTTGGGGGGAGGGCGGTTACAAGGTGCCTTGTGGGAGACAAGACTAGAAATAACATCAACAGGAATACAGAGCATTCTGGGAAGAAGATGAGGGAGGGCTGGTTTCTCTCAGAGAAGGATGTATTTATGAGATAAGGAATCCCATTGAGTTATCCCAGGAAGTGGAAGTTGGCAGGAGAGGCAAGGGGCCAGAGTTGAGAAGACCCTTTTACTGGGAACTCTGCTCCAGGCCCACCTCCAGGCTGGTCTCTGTGCCACAGACATCACTAAGGAAATGGGTGCCTGGGAGGTTGCCATGGCAACTCCAGGCTCCGGCTGGGGCCTTGTTGGAGGAGGAGGCCACAGGAGCCGCATGTCCGAGCAGAAGGGTCATCTAGCTAATGCTATTAGGCAAGTTTCCCCTAAATCAGAAAGGTCCCCCCACCACCTCATCCCTATCCCACCAACCACCTCACCCATCTCCAAAACAATCCTCCTGCCCTTTCCCTTGCCATCAACAACCACTCTCCCCCTTCATCCTCCCAACCAACCCCTAGATCCAAACAAAAACCTTCTGTATCACTAGTTGCCCCCCAACCCATCTCCTAAAATGCTACCCCCCATCCCAGCACCAGCCACTCCCCGCCACCTTCCACAGTACCCCCACTGTGTCACTCTATGCTCCTTTCCCAGAATAGCTTCCCATACCAGACCACCCCACCCCAGCCCCTCCCTGTCTTTTCCTTCAAGAACGGCCCCATGCCAATGCTTCTTCACCCCCAAGCCATGCTGTTCCCCAAAAGAAGGGAGAACCTTCCTTTCACCTCACCTTACTGAACCTGCCTCTTCTGCTCCCACACCCCACCCAGACTTCCCCTTCCCCACCCTTCCCCTGCTTCCTGACTTCCTCTCTCCATTTGCCCCTTCTGCCCTCCCTCCTTCCCCTTCTGTCTGCCCTACCACCTCGCTCTCTTCTCTTTCCCAGCAGCTCTCTTGCTCTCTTCCCTTTCTCTCTCCCACTCTCCTGGGAACTGCAGTGCTGAGAGGTTCTGTTTCTCACAGAAAAGGGCCAAATGCGAACAGGGATATGAAGGGAAAATGGAAAAAAAAAGCAGCATCTGCTAAGACAGCAGGAGCGGAGGGGGCCAAGGGGGGGGAGGAAAGGGGGAGGAGACACTGGGAATGATGTGGGAGCTCGGATGGGGGAGGGGGCATGGGGATCCTGAGGGCCATGGAGATGAGGGGGAAGGAGAGAGGAGAGGATGGAGGAATCCAAAAGGCAATGGGAACATAATGATGAGGCCAGGGCAGGTGGGAGCAGAAGGGGTTTGAAGAATGAGAGACAAAGAAAAAGACATGGTGTGGTGGGATGGGGCAAAAATTGTGTAGAGGTGGGGTGGATGAAGAGGAGGTAGGTCAATGGAGGGGAAATGGGTCAGTCACAGAGAGATGGAGCAGTGAGGGAGAAAATGGGCCAGTGACTGGGGGGGGCGGGGGCAGTGCAGGGCAGTGTGGAGAAGTGGAGATGCAGCAGGGCCAACCAAGGCCATTACTTACACGTGTATGGAGAGAGCTCGTCCTCTGTACAGGCTGAACGCGCTGCCGTACAGGTCACTGGCCACCGAAAGGCTATCCTCTGACCCCCAGCTTGTGCCCACCAGATTAGCACGAGATGCCCGCACCAGCGGCTCCACCCCCAGGTGCCGCGGCCCGGCCCCGGCCCCGGCTGCCTGTGCTTGCCTTGGGCTGCCTGGGAGCCGGCGGGAAGTACCGCCACCACCGTTGCCGCCCGCCTCCTGCTCCAACACCGTCTGCCCGCTGCCCCACCAGCTCGCCTGCTCTTCAGAGGTACCCGTCACGGAGGTCGGAGGGGTGTCAAGGGAGGAGCCCACCAGGGTGTCTGAACCCCCTAGAGAGAGGAAAAGTCATGAGCTCAGAGGCTACAAGGATACAACCCTCTTTTCCAGCCCCAGGCCTCTAAGAAAGACAAACCTGTGGGAGTGCTGAAGGCCCCATCATCTTGTAGTTCCAGGCGCTGTGTCCCTTGAGCATCACTGATATCATCTTCACCGGTCTCCGAGTCTAAGGAAAAAGGGACTTTCATGGACAAAGCCTCTATCTTCCACCCAGAACCACCACCTTCTCAGCTTTTCCTGGAATGTCTCTCTTTTCCTGACCCTGACCCCAGCATGATTCCATTGCATCATCAGCTAGGCCTATCTCCCCACTCCTCACCTTCTCCTCTATTTCCATTCCCAAAGTTCTCCCCATCACCCCTCTGGGCTCCTAGTTCCTCCTCACCCCTACCACCCACACCACTTCCGACAGCACTGGGTTTGCTTCCAACCACCTAAAGGAACCCAGGGGTGATCCCCACTATACCCCTGCCTGCTATTCTCCAGGTCCCTCTCTATAACACCAACATGGTCCCAGGTTTTAAGGGACTCAGATTCAGGAGTAGAAGGGAACATCAACCCAAAGAAAAATGGCAGTCGCTGTCACACCTTACTCTCACCAACTCACAGGGCCAGCCCCATTCTCCACCCCAGACCAGCAAATGGTGTTGGGGCCAGGCCCTGAGGCCAGGAACCCTCAGGAGGAACGGAGGAGCAGAAGGGCAGGACAGAGATCCGTTTCCTACCGTAACTTTGCTTTCTGCAGGAGCGGAAAACTTCGCTTCCATAGGAGCAGCAGGAGAGAGACATCGACAGACTGTTATCAGAGCGTCTGTGGGGCAGGGCATGATGGGGCAGATGGAGTAGAGGGGGAAATTGGGCTTCCCAGTTCCCAGAGATGTTCTGCAGGGACTGAGTGGGGGAACCTGGGGGCAGAGCCCCACACTGCTGACAACTAGTTACTTCTCTCCCTGGATTTATCTAAAGGTTCCTATTGTACATAGAATAATTAGGTCCAGGTATGTAAGGTTTGCTTGTTTGGTTTTTTTTCTCCCCACCAACCCCTTCCTCCTCAATTATACTCTGTCCTTGTGGCCTATACATATACAGACGTACCCCAGTGCTCACACTTGCAAGCTGGAACAACTAGGTACACACACACACACACACACACACACACACTCACACACACACACACACACACACCCATACACACACACACTTATTGCCACACCAAACACACTGTAGGGGACCACATCCAAGTCACTGGTCTGGGGCCCTTCAAATCCATGAAAACACCGTACTCTATATCTGGAATGCTTACTCTCAAATTTCTCTCTTCTCTCTGTCATCTCTGTCTCTGCCTCTGTCTTTCTGTCTCTCTCACACACATACACACACACACCCACACACAATCTTCCCCCTAAAAAGTCCAATGGTTAGATTTAAAGTCAGAACTCCTGGGTTTTGTTCCAAGTTCCCTGAAATCCTGTTGAATTCTGAGCCCATTTTCCCCTCTTTGCCTCAGTTTCTCCATCTTTGCAATGGGAAAATAAATCCCATTTAGAATTTACCAAAGTGAGGGTGTCTACCTTTCCACATCTACAACCATGAGTGGGACAAGCAGCCAAACAGAAGTCCCAGAGATGAGGAACAGAAGACCTAGGCCCTTTCTGTGGACTTGACTCTAGTTTTCCCTGACTCCTGTCCCTCTCTTGGCTGTATACCTTCAAGTCAAAGGGCTATGCCAAATCCCAAGGGGTTACTCAAAGCAATAAGGCATCATCATGGCTCTGACCCCTCATCCAGGAGTCTGGAGAGAATCTAGCCAAGTGAGCCTGGGAAGGGTACCATTGGGAAGAGGGGTATAAAGAAGGACAGCCACAGTCCCACGCACCATGGGTGAATCGACCAAAGGCCCGCCTCGAGTGGCCAGTTTTCTGAAAAAGAAAAATCAAATTGATTTGTTATGGGAATTCACCCCAATTTAACAACATTCCTAATCCCAGAGACCTGTGGTATGGGAGCACAGGGAGGTAAGGGCAATATATAATACTAAGACAGAGCATTTGGGGGATGGGATTCTTTGTTGGAAACCCAATGACCAATCTTTCCCCAGAGGGATTCCCATTGGGTTTTCTGGGATCCCTACACCTACAACAACCCTGCTACTAAGCATCTGGCCCTCCCTGATCTCAGAGCACCGAGATTGTATGCATGTTCATGCCAGCCAAGAAAAAATGGTGGTCAATGTCACGCTTTACTAGGGGAGGGGAGGAGGAACATTCATGGGATAGACCTCTGATCAGTGTCCAGGCTTTGGACATCCAGGAACCTTAGGCCCAGGAACATGGAGAACCTCAACATAAAGTGGTAGGACAAGGGAGAACAGGGAGACCTTGGGGGACTCTGAGGGTCAGAGATGTGGGAGGGCTTGGAGCACATGAAGAAGGGAATGAGTGAAAGAAGGGACTATTGAGGAAAGCAAAGCAAAGGGAGAGAGAAGAGCATGGGGAATAGAAAGTTCTACATAAGAAGGCTCTACATGGTATAGGACCATGGGGAGATACAGGGCCATAGAGATAAGAGGGCTGAGGAGAGCGCCTAGACACTGGAATATATGGGAAGGTGCCAGTGGAGGGGACATATGGGTCAGGGACATGGGTAGGGACATCAGACATAATAGGTGACAAGGTATGGGAATCTCGGAAATAGAATGTGGGGACAGGAGAAGATGCAGGGTCACCAGGGACAAGGAGGATGTTAACATGGAGATGGAGTTCCTTCTGGGCATTTCTTAGCCAGGGAGAGCAAAGTCAGCATTTAGAAATCCAGTGAAACAGGAGATCACAAAGGTGGTTGGAATCACCCCACAGGAAGGGAGGTAGGCAGAATGGAGGCACGGGGCGTCAGTGAAAAGGATCAGACCAGGGAAGAGAAAAGGAGAGAGGGAAGGCTGATGACAGCTACGGACATAAAGGCACAGGGTGCTAAAAACCATGGGGGACAGGGACGTGGTCCTGGGGAAGGGGTGGGGGATGGGCCTTGCTAGCGCAACTCAGGGAGGGGGCATCAGGGCCCCCGCGGGTAGCCTTCCCGCAGGCTGTTCCAGGGACCGGGGCAGAAGGGGTGCCCAGGCGAGGCCGCAGCGCCCAGGGAAGGGCCCAGGCCGATGCCCACCTAGCCCTCCCTGGGGCCCCCGCCTCCGCCCCGCCCTCTCGGCGCCCCGGCCCTTGGGCCCCCCCACCCCACCCACGCGCGGCCGGGAGAGCCCTTACCTGGAACCGCTTCTTCACCCACAGCTTCTTCATGGCAGGGGGGGAGGGCCGGGCCGGGCGGCCGGAGCCAGGAGGGGACTAGGCGGGGGCGGGGGCGGAGTCGAAGGAGGAGCCGGGGGCGACCGCGGGAGCCGAGCACGAACGGGAGCCGCCTCTGCAGCCAGTCTGGGAGCCCCCGGAGCCTCCCAGGATGGGAATCGCGAGCGGAATCCGGAGCGGAATCCGGAGCGGAGAGAGAGGGCGGGCGGGCGGGCGGGCGGCAGGTGCGGGTGCGGCGCCCCGAGCCTGCTCCTGCTCCTCCCCCTGCCCCCGGGACCTCAGCCCGCGACCCTACCCCATCCCCGCCCCTGCTCCGCATCTCACCTGCCGCTCCTCTGCTCCCAGGGCGGCCCCAGCTCAGGTCCCACCCTTCCCAACCGCAGCCACCACAGACCCCTGCACACCACCCCCCAACTAAGGCCCCTCCCAGACCAAGGGGAAAGGCTTACTTGCCCCCTTGGAGCAGATGGGGAAACTGAGGCACAGGAAAGGAAAGGCATTGGCTCAGGGTAACCAGGATATAGCCCACGAGGCTCGATGTGGCCTGAACCTCACCCCCTAGTTCCAAGCCTAGGCACAGCTAAGCGCAGCTACGGCCCCCAGCTCACCTGACCTTTATACCCTGCAGTCCAAGCAAGACATACAAAGAGGAAGCATCCTCCTGCTTGTCCCAGGGTCTAAGCAGCAAGGAGCTGGGTCAAACATGGAATACAGTCCTTGCACTCCCTACCTCCTAGGATGTTTGTGAGGAAAGCACTTTGTAAACCCCAGAATGCTGTAGTAATGTGGATTATCAATTTTATTATCATCTTTGCTCAGGCCAGCCTGGGGCAGTGCATCTGGCCAGGGACTCGGCACCTCTGGGTCATAGTGCAGCATCCATCTTCCTAGAATGCCCCAGCAAAAAAAAGTAGTTAGGCCAAGCATATCTAGAAGCCCCAGAACTGTCCTCCCGGCCTAGATGTAGCCTGGGCTACGGCTTCAGGAGCCAAGCAGTGAGACAGACAATGAAAGCTAACCTCAAAACTGCCAGAGGTGTTTGAGTGAATAGCAGAGAAGATGCAACAGCTCCCACTAATATTCCTTGCAAGCACAGTCATCTCATGCCATACAACCTCCTAGAACACATATACTTGCCCTCTTACAGACAGACACACATACACACACACACACACACACCCCACTGAACTAAAATCATCATACAAATACAGGCCACAGTACATACACTGGCTGTGCCAAAATAACTATACAAATATATATTCCACATACATCACATACTTCACAGAGCGTGCATGCACACACACACACACACACACTGTACCAGTGCAGCTATAAAAATAAGAAGCGTGGCTTAGAATGTAGCGAGACCAATTTCACAAGCTACCCTTGGAAACCAGTCTCATCATTTTCTACCTGCATGCGCATGTGCCTACATTTTTCACAAACATTCAGAGGGTGATAGTTCCCAGAAACGCACACCAGGGCATGGTTTCATAGGATCATAGACTTAGAAAGAAAAAGAACTTTTGAGGCCACCTAATCCAACCCCCTTATTTACTAGATGAGGAAACTGAGGCTCAGAGAGATTGGATGACTAGCCCAATGACACACACATCTAATAAAGCCACTAGTGAGTGACAGGGCAAGAATTTGAATTTAGGTTCTCTGGTTCCAAACCCAGTACATGTTTCACTGTCTCTACCCCAGGTTCAAAGAGGGTACACTTGCCCACACCAGTACCTATCAAAGATACATGGAAGCAAAAGGGTTGATACACACCCACCTAGTCACACACACCCTCCCACAGATAGGGGAGTGGAGTGGGGAAAGAGGTAACCTGAGACCCTGTGCACCAGGAGAATCCTAGGGGCTGGCACATTCCATGTCAAAAATAGCTATTGGGCAGCAGGTGTGAGTGGCAGGACAGCTGGGTCCCACAGAGCCCCAGAGCTGCCTCACCCCAATAGGCTGTACCCCTGCCTCCTACCCTAGGAGTTGCCCCTCACTTCAGCCTTCTGGCCCTTCCTAACTCTGCCTTGTACCATGCTTTCAAGTTGGGACCTACTCCAAACAGGTCTTTACCCACACAGCTGTCTTCCCTAATGACAGTTTTCACTACCAAGTGGAACCCTGGTAACTATTCCATTTCACTCCCAGCCTACCAATTTGAGCATTCATTGGGTCCGTCTGAATCCCAGAATCCAGAGGGCCACAACAATACATTTTCCTATGCCCCATCTCCCATCCTTACCTCCACCTCACTTGACTCCTTTCCTTCTTTCAAAAGGTGCTCTCCCTTCTTTTCCCCTTTCTTTCTCTCATTTTCACCCCCTCTGATTCTTTCTTCTTGCAGTATCTCTCCTTCATACTCTCTTCATCCCAGAGATTTTTATGTAGATTTAGGGTACTTCATCTTTATATAGCTTCACCATCTAGCCCTTCCTTTCCTACTCAGTACC